TTTCTGCTGACCCGTGATTTCTTAGAATTATCCCAAGTAATCCAGCTCATCCCATTACTGAATATGTTATTCAAGTTTCCCTAGTGTCTCAAAAAAGAAACCAACTTTATTAAGGCTGATATGCCATTTGTAATAAATTTTCTTTGTCATTTCACAGACATGAATTCCCCAAACCTAACTTCTGCCTACTGAAGACAAACAATTTAATCCTAACTTTAGAAAATAAACACTGAAGCATAAAAAAAAAGATTCCTGATCATTCAGGGGTTACCAAGATTGTGCTGCCCACCCTAGTCAATAACCAAAAAGGAAACAGGTCTCTAAGAGAGTGTCTGTCTGGTGCATTCAAACACAATTTCTCCAGGTTTAAAGAGAAAACCCCCCTCTCTACACCTACAGTCCGAGGGCGAGCTCACTCTGGCATCACGTTCCCTGGGGTGAGTTTTCTTCTAGAAGAGTCCAGGGGTAGAGGAAAGGAGTAGGAGGCAGGGAGTCCAGTTCAGGGAGAGGGATTCCGGGGCGGGAAGTGAAGGGACAGGGGCCGGACCCAGCTTGGGGGTCTCTCCTGGTTTCCTCAGACAGCTCCTGGGCCGGGACTCAGGGAGACAGTGTGACAAAGAGCGCTTGGTGCAGGAGAGGGGTAAGGGGAATGTCGCAGCGCCCCGGGCGTGCCTCTCAGAGTGTCGGGGGCGGGGAAGCTCAGCGTTGGGGATTCCCCGTCTCCCCGGGGTTTCACTTCTCCCTGTTCCAACCCGTGTCAGGTCCTTCTTCCTGGATACTGCTGACGCGGCCCCAGTTCTCACTCACATTGGTTGTCGATTTCCAGAGAAGCCAATCAGCGTCGCCGCAGTTCCAGGTTGTAAAGTCCCCACGGACCTACCCGGACTCAGAGTCTGCCCAGACCCAGAGGATGGAGGTCTCGCCCCGAACCCTCCTCCTGCTGCTCTCGGGGGTCCTGGCCCTGACCGAGACCTGGGCGGGTGAGTGCGGGGTCGGGAGGGAAGCGGCGTCTGCGGGGAGGAGCGAGAGGACCGCCCGGCGGGGGCGCAGGACCCGGGCGCCGCGCGGGGAGGAGGGTCGGCCGGGTCTCAGCCCCTCCCCGCCCCCAGGCTCCCACTCCATGAGGTATTTTTCCACCGCCGTGTCCCGGCCCGGCCGCGGGGAGCCCCGGTACATCTCCGTCGGCTACGTGGACGACACGCAGTTCGTGCGGTTCGACAGCGACGCCGAGAATCCGAGGATGGAGCCGCGGGCGCCGTGGGTGGAGCAGGAGGGGCCGGAGTATTGGGACCGGGAGACACGGAACGCCAAGGACGCCGCACAGACTTTCCGAGTGAGCCTGCGGACCCTGCGCGGCTACTACAACCAGAGCGAGGCCGGTGAGTGACCCCGGGCTCGGGTCACAGACCCCTCCCCACTCCCACAGAGAAGCCCGCGTCGCCCCGAGTCTCCGGGTCCGAGAGTCACCCCGAGGCTGCGGGACCCGCCGAGACCTTCGACCCCAGAGGAGCCCAAGGGGACTTTCACCCGGTTTCATTTTCGGTTTAGGCCAAAATCCCCGCGGGTTGGGGGGGGGGCGGGGCTGAGTGGGCGTGGCTGACCGCGGGGGCGGGGCCAGGGTCTCACACTATCCAGTGGATGTCTGGCTGCGACGTGGGGCCGGACGGTCGCCTCCTCCGCGGGTACCGGCAGTTCGCCTACGACGGCGCCGACTACATCGCCCTGAACGAGGACCTGCGCTCCTGGACCGCGGCGGACACGGCGGCTGAGATCACCAAGCGCAAGTGGGAGGCGGCCGGTGCGGCGGAGCACCACAGGGCCTACCTGGAGGGAAGGTGCGTGGACTGGCTGCGCAGATACCTGGAGCGCGGGAAGGACACGCTGCAGCGCGCGGGTACGCGGGGCCGCGGGGCGCCTCCCACATCTCCTGTAGACGTCCCCGCTCTGCTCCCACAAGGAGGGGAGGAAAATGGGACCAACGCTAGAAGGTCGCCCTCCCTCTGGTCCAGAGCAGGAAGACGCCTCCTGGGTGTCCAGATCCTGTTCCAGGGAGTGACTCTGAGGACCCGCCCTTCCCTCTGGGACAGTTAAGGGATGAGTCCCCCAGGGAATGGAGGGGAAGACAGTCCCTGAAAGACCGATCAGCGGTTCCCTCTGACCCCGCAGCAGCCGTGGGCACCGTGACTTTTCCTCTCAGGCCGTGTTCTCTGCCTCACACTCTGTATTTGGGGTCTGATTCCCGCCCTTCTGAGTCGCTGGCCTCACTCAGGCCAGGACCGGACGTCCGCGTTCTCCCCGTCAGAGACTAGAACTTTCTGAGGAGTAGGAGATTATCTCAGACCCCTGGGGCCAGGCTGGTGTCTGGATTTCGCACTCCCTTCCCTCACCGGGTTTGTCCTGTCCATTCTCAGGAGGTCACATGAGCACTGCTGGAGTGTCCCATGAGGGATGCAAAGTGCCTGAATTTTCTGACTCCTCTCCTCAGACCCCCCAAAGACACACGTGACCCACCACCCCGTCTCTGACCGTGAGGCCACCCTGAGGTGCTGGGCGCTGGGCTTCTACCCTGCGGAGATCACACTGACCTGGCAGCGGGATGGGGAGGACCAGACCCAGGACACCGAGCTTGTGGAGACCAGGCCTGCAGGGGATGGAACCTTCCAGAAGTGGGCGGCTGTGGTGGTGCCTTCTGGAGAGGAGCAGAAATACATGTGCCATGTGCAGCACGAGGGGCTGCCGGAGCCCCTCACCCTGAGATGGGGTAAGGAGGGGATTGGGGGTCAGGTCTCTTCTCAGAGAAAGCAGGGGCCCTTCTGGAGCCCTTCAGCAGGGTCAGGGCTGAGCCTGGGGTCAGGCCTCTCACCTTCCCATCCTTTCCCAGAGCCGCCTTCCCAGCCCAGCGTCCCCATGGTGGGCATCGTTGCTGGCCTGGTCCTCCTTGGAGCTGTGCTCACTGGAGTTGTCATCGCTGTGATGTGGAGGAAGAAGAGCTCAGGTGGGGAAGGGGTGAGGGTGGGGTCTGGGTTTTCTTGTCCCAGTGGGGGTTTCACGCCCAGGCAGAAGTGTGCCCTGCGTCATTCAGGGGCCATGTTTGCTCACACTTGCTCTATTGTAAAGGATATGGAAAGTGAAGAACAAATTTATCACCTTGACGATGGTGGTAATGGGGACCTGAATCCCAGAAGTCACCAGTCACAGGGACAGGTTCCTGCTGAGGACAGACCTCCAGGAGGGCAGTTGGTTAAGTCCCTCCTTTCCTCGTGTTTCTTAATCTTGGCCTAGATCTTCAGTCACAGTTCTGGAACCTTCTCTGGGGTCTAAGACTAAGGGGATCTTCTAGCACCTCATGGCCCTGCCTCTTCTCTGGCCTCTCACAGGGCATTTTCTTTCCACAGGTGGAAAAGGAGGGAGCTATGCTCAGGCTGCCTGTAAGTATGGGGGACAAAGGTCCCTGAGACCTTTGGGATAGTGTAGACAGGAGCCCATGGGGGAGCTCGCGCACCCCATAATTCCTCCTGTAGCCGCATCTCCTGTGGGCTCTGACCAGGTCCTGTTTTGTTCTGCCCCAGGCAGCGACAGTGCTCAGGGCTAGATGAGAGTCTCACGGCTCGTAAAGGTGAGAGCCTAGGGGCCTGATGTGGGAGAGGTGGGGAAGTGGGGACAAAGCTGGGCTTCTGGGGAGTCTTTGAAGGGACATTTTGAGTGTGTCGTGCCCTGTTCATAGTGTCACCACTTACTGTGACTGACCTGAATTTCTTCCTGCTTATTTTTTTCTGCAGTGTGAGACAGCTGCCTGTGTGGGACTGAGCGATGCAGGATTTGTTCACGCCTCCCCTTTGTGGCTTCAGGAGCCTCTGACTTCTCTATCTGCAAAGGCCTCTGAATGACTCTGTGTCCCTGTTCCCGTAATGTGATGGGGTGGAGAGGCCAGCCCACCCCTGTGTCCTGTCCCCTCTGCCACACTGATGTGTGCCCTCTGCCCAGTCATGTTTCCTGTCCCAGCGAGGAAGGACTGGGACGTCTCCATCCCTGTCTCAACGTCATGGTGCGCTGAGCTACTTCCCTACTGAAAATAAGAATTGAATATAAATTTATTTTCTCAAATTCTTGTAATGAGAGGTTGATGGGTTAATTAAAGGAGGAATTTCCTAAACTTTGAGAGTGGAAATAAATGGAAGACCTGAGAACCTTCTGGAATCCTTGCGTTTGTTGTGCTGAGTCTGCTGTAAGTGGGGACAGAACAGGCTGTGAGGAGACTAGTATGGACTGGGCTGCGCCTAGGCTGTGCTCAGTCCATCATGGGCTTTATGTGGTCACCCCTTGGCTGTGTCGTCCTCTCTGTTGTCCTTGTCCCAGTAGAACCTTGTCCAGCAGGACCTGTGATGACAGAGGCTGAGATACCACCCAGGGCAGCCCCTGCACACGGGAGTCTCCGTGGTATCAAAAGATGAACTTTCAGACCCAGAAATCTCTTGCCCTCCTTCTAGGGCTCTTTCCTGAATTCTGTTCTCCATCTGTTCCCCAGCCTTTTTATTCCTTTATTTTTATTTATTTTTAATTTCTATGGATACATGATAATTGTCTATGTTTATGGGGTACATGTGATGTTTCGGTATAAGCATACAATGTGTAATGATCAGATCTGGGTAATCAGACTCCCTCACCTCAAACGTTTATCCTTTCTTTGTGTTGGGAACATACTAAAGCTTCTAGTTGATTTGAAATATATAGTGAATTACTAACTGTAATCACTCTATTGTGCTAGTGAACACTAGATGTTATTCCTTCTATCAAACTGCATTTTTATACCCATTTCCAGCCTCCAGTAACCACCATTCTATTCACCACTTCTGTGAGGTCAGTTTTTTTAGCTCCCACATGTGAGAGAGACACACGACATCTGTCTGTCTGTGTGCCTGGCTTATTTCTCTTGATGTAACGTCCTCCAGTTCCATCCAGGTTGCTGCACCCAACCTTTTTAAAGGAACCCAATTCTGGAATTAGGACAGATCCCACCATTTCTTATCTTAGATAAATTCCTATTAGGTTTCTATCTCCTCTGCTAACCTACTCCCATCCCTGCCCTTAGTTCTAGTAATCCTGTCGCTGGCTCAAATCCAAACTCAAGGATTTATAAAGTAGGCTCTAAATTAGCTGTATATTTGTGTGGCAAGTTGGACCCATAGTCAAGGATGATGGTTATTCCTAGGGGAGAAATATCTCTGTGTGCTGCAGTGTGCGGGAAGGTTGTGTGGGTCGGACGGAGGGAGGACAGAACAGCGCAGGTGGCATTGATGTCAGCGTGTAAACACAATGTCAGTGTGACAGGACAGTGTGCCACAAAACAGCACTTGCCCTGAGGCTACATTAATAAAGATCCTGTGTCTAGACTAGGGCTGTGCTCTACAGTGATAGTTCATTCAACTGTCATTGTTTGGCCAGATACATGACAGACTGTTCCTGCACGTGAGGAACATCATTAAAGTAAAAACAGAAATATTCCTGGCCTTGTGCAGTGTATGTTCCAGTGGGAAGAGACAGACTATGTTCTACGAGCAGAGCAAACAAGGAAAGTGTTTCAGTTAGAAGACAGTGAGTGTTACAGGGGAACATGACCCAGAGTGTGGGGTGTGGGGACAGGCAAGGTGGCTGTGGCACTGGGGGCTCAGCGTGGCCCTTGTTGCAAAGAAGGGAAACATGGACGCTCCGTGCTCTGAGGAAGGATTTGAAGGACACGATGAAGTGTCTGCGAGGACGCTGGGAAGTTCTTTCCAGGCAGGGGAAGCTTAGCGCAAACGCACCGGGGCAGGAAGGCGTCTGCGCTGTGGGAGGAGCGAGGAGGCCGGGAGGCTGCACAGAGAGCAACTGAGATGAGGTCAGAGGTGGGGCTGGAGCAGGTGGGCCTGAGGGTGTGGGGAGGGTCTGACCTTTGCTCTGAGTGAGATGGGGACTTATAGGACAGTTCTGAGCAGAAGACGACATGGTGCAACTTCCCTTTTTAAAGTATCTGTCTGGCTGCTGTGCTGAGAGCAGAACTGAGAGGCAGGAGGAGCGAGGAGTGGGGAACAGCGGGAAAGGAGGGCAGGTTCCAGGCTGCAGGTGGCGGCTGAGCAGCGGAAATCCAGGGAAGCGCTGGGTTCTGGATCCATTTTGAAGATGGACTCTACAGCGTCTCCTAGTGCATCTGGGGTGTGAGAAGAGGCATCCGGGAGGACACGCACAGTGTGGGCTGTGTGAGCGGAAGGACGGAGCTGCCGTCCGTGGAGATGGGGACGACTGTGGCAGGGCGTGTTTGAGGAGGGGGCGTCCCCAGGAGTGCAGGGGAGGGGGCTGGGGTGGCAGCTGGACAACAAGTCTGGACTTTAGGAGAAATGTCTGTGCTGGAGGAGTAGATTTGGGGGTGACACCATGTAACTGATATTTAAAGCCTCGAGCGGGGATGAGGTCGCCAAGGGAGTGACTGGCTACAGCAGAGAAAGGGAACAAGGACTGAACTGTGGTCCTCCAGTGCTGAGGATCTGATCCGACCACGCGCCCAGAGCCGACTGCACAGTTCCGACGCCACGTCCAGGAGGCGCAGAGACCAGGGAGTCCCAGACTGCACCGTGTGTGCAGGAGTCCCCTGGATGTGGCGCTGAGACACAGAAGGTCAGGAGTGGAGCATGATGTCCCGTGTTGGTGACAAGGGTGGAGCTGATGCTGCTGGTCTTCAGGTCACACGTCCGCAGCAAGAACACAGAGCAGGATACCCACGTGTGTGCTCAGCCCACCTGCAGGGCTTGGTAAACACGCGAGTCCTTGCTCTTGTGCGGGACACTCTGAGCAGGTGGTTCTGGGAGAGGCCTGAGTATTGTTCAAGCGCCACCGGCAAGCCCAGTGCCCAGCCAGACTGGAGCCCTGAGGCCATTGACCAGAGAGTGCCCAGGGTGGGTCTTACACCCATTTAAATGTCCTCTTTTCCCTCAGGGAGAAAAAGGAGAACATGTGTCATTAATTGTGAAACATGATGTTGGGAGATTCGCATCGTTCTCCCTACCATGGGGTACAGCCAGGTAGAAGGTTCCGGTATCGGCTCTCAGCTCTGCATATAGAACATCCCTGAATCCTGCTCTCTGACACTGTTCCCCAGACTGATTTTTCATTCACTTCTTGCAGCAAACAATGGAAACCAAATTTTTCTAGTTTACACATTCGTGTATATGTAATTGGGGCTAATTTTATTGGAGGGAAGGCCACAAAGCCAGGCTTGTGGCTACACAGCCAGAAGCAGAATCCACAGTCCACCCTAGGTCAGATCCCTTGGAGGAACCTCTGCCCCTGCTGCTGGGGACAGATGCCACTGCTCACACCTCTGACACCCTGATGCTGGACACTGGGCCCTGCGGCAAGGAGTGCTGTCACCGCACATCCTGGCAAGTGGACGTCACCACTGCCACTTGTCCATCTTTACCAAAATGTGTTTTGCACAGTCCCAGCCTCTCTGTGTCACCTCATCCTGGTCAGAGTCTGGCAGGTGGAGCCTGAGCCTCATGTCCATGTTCAATGAAGAGGTGACTGGAGAGTGTCCTTTCCTGTGGAGGGAGGCAGTGTCTGTCCCCTCTGAAGATTTTCAGTGTGCAATTTTGATATAGTGTGAGGGTGCAGGTGCCGGGAGGTTAGGGGTGGAAGAGGAGTGACAAACTCCCGTCCTTGCAGCAGTGATGTGAGATAAGAGCTTCGTCTGGCACTTTGCAGGCTCTTGGTCGGCCGGATGAACAAGAGACTAGTAAACAACATCTTTCCACCCATTGCCTTGAGAGTATGATGCTACCTCCGGCTTTCGTCTGTACCCGTGTGCACTCTACATCTTTGGGGTGGCATCGTGGTGTTAGAAACGACCCGCAGTGTCGTTAGGAAAGTAGTCAGACACTGCAAACTGTCTGGGCAAGGCCCAACCTTTATTTCTGATCAGAAGGGCGCCAGCGGCAGTCAGAGCAGCCGCACTACAGGGGGGTCCTCACCTTTCATCCCCAACACAGACCTGTGGCTGTGTCTCGTCCCATTGGCCGGGATTTCCACCCACAGTCTTGTTCTTACCCGACTGGCTAAGGGGTGTTGCTAAGACACACAGGAAGAGGGGGTAGGGGCTCTCAGGGTAGTAGATGTTTAGAATCGGCAGGCTAGTCAGGCATAGTAAGGCGTGCGGAAGTGAGTTACTTCCTGACACTTTGGCAGAAAAGATCAAACCAAGGTTATTTCCCCCTGCAATGGGATGGTGAAACAATTACTCAAAACATCTTCTTGACTAGGTGTCTTACTAGAGCAAAATGTTCAGGTCTGTAATACCTCAGAGGATCTGTGTGCTCTAACATTTTGTATTAATATTTATAATTTCTTGTGTATGGAAATATTTCTGGGGAGTG